ACTGCCTGTTTGGCGACACCGTCAACACCGCGTCGAGGATGGAGGCCTATTCACTCCCCGGGAAAATTCACGTGACACGACAAACTTATACGTGAGGAGTTTTGAGAGAAATTGGGGTATTTTGTTGGTATCGTTGGTATCTTGTGCGTTATGGGAGGGTTATGTTTTATTGCGATACTGATCGAGATGATAGCAAGGAGGATAATGGTTGCTAAAATTTGAATAAAAAATATAGAGATGATGGGACTTTTATTGTTTCTTTTATCATCATAATTAGCATTACCTTTGTCATTTTATCAATATTATTATTACTATCATTATAATATAAGTAATAGGGATTACTATTTTCATACTTCGACCCTATTTGGAATGAATTGCGTATTTGATTTATAACAATCTTCCTGACATTATATACAGGCACCAATTTTTCTTTTGCATGCATTTGCGCTAAAAAATAAATAATCTTTCCAGTGCTCTTATTCTGACACTGATGAAACCCTCTACTTGCAGGCTTCTGAAAGGTCGCAATTACAAATTCACTCAACGAGAGCAGCTCAACATCAAAGGAAAAGGAGCCATGGTAACTTACTTCCTGGACAGCGGACCTGCGGCCACTGGTCTGCCCCCCTCGTCACCTCCTCGTGCCGTCCAGGTCGTGGAACCTCGATCTCCCTCGGATTCCATACCTGATGCTGCTGCCAACACTCCCAGCGCCTCGACGGTGGAAACAGCAATCAAGAGTTCCTACGCCAGCCTGTTATCCTTCCCCGCCATCATACGCACCAGCTCCGCCGTTCACCCCGCCATCACGGTGACCAAATCAGCCGGGTCCGCCTCCAGTTCGACTGGCGAAGGTCAGGGGACTGTCAACTCCCACAGAAGACTGACTCGGAAATTATCGCCAAATATCCGTTTTAACGAATCGGATGAAGTCGTAGCCGTGAATTCCTGTTCAGATAAGATTTCGAATCGGGCTCGTTCACCAGGGAGTGCGAACAGTGACTCGGAAAAGGTGTGCCTCACTAATAAACACTCTTGTGATCTGTCAGTACTGTCATCGGAATTCTTTATACCTAACGACAGTATGAATCAAGGGCAATCTAAAAATAATCGAGCCAAGAAATCTGTAAATTGCAAATCATCTGTCTGTGTTATTATTTGAAAGTATTTATATATGCAGAATGATTCGTGCACTGATAAATCATATACACAAACGACTGTATTTAACGTGGACGGACATACTAGGGTATTTTCGTGCATGTTAAATATTGAAACGTTCTTCAATAAGACATCGTGTTGTGTACCGTGTGAAAACAAGTATGTTTACAGAGATCTCAAAAAATAATCATCCATATAATGTACAAAGTTGTTTTTTTGAATATTATGTCATTGCATTCTAGACATGGTTTGGGTTTGAAAGTGACTATCAGACAATAATATTTGTTTACAATAGTCTTGGTTATAGTAGTACGAGGAACTAAGTTGCTGTAGTTTCTCGTAGCAAACCAGCTAATAACCGTTTTGTGTTCATGAGTAGTCCCATTAGGTACGTTGCGTCAGAAGAGCCAGGCGTCCTCTTGAAAGTGGCCATGATATATTAGCTCTGTACCAGTGTAGTATTTGGTAATTATATTGTTCGTTGAATGAGTGAATAGCGGTAGTAACACCAGTGACTTCACCAACATCAGTTTTATTATGAGTTCAAATATTTTTTTTTGTGCCAATCTAACTAATCGTCGAATTAAAATTGCAGAGACAGATCTCCTGTATCAATTCGTTAGTCTATGGAAATCCGATTACTGGTTCCTCGTTGGCTCACTCACGTAATTAAGTCCCCGTAAAAATTACCTAACGCCAGATTTCTCGGCGATTTCTAAATAAAAAAAAAAAGAAAAGAAAAAAAATCTGCTAGCATGAGAAACGGAATTGGCAAGACTGGTAATCATATACAGATAGTGACTATTTCGGGTAGATACACTATATCTAAATTATTTAACACAGTAGTCTACATACGACATTATTTGTAAGGAATCCTACTTTCCTTACAGCCTAAGTTTACAAAAAATGCAACAAATATATTAATTTCATCTACAGAACGTTTATCTAAAAATCAAGGAAATAGCATATCTTAAGATAATATTCTTAGGGAATTATTAATAAAGTTACGTCTGCTAGTTGTATTTTTTTCAACCTATGGGAACGGGATTAGTCGGATATTTATTCGGAAAATCAGTGCTTGTCTGTTTCATATTTTCCCACTTCTTGTCGAAGTTGAAAAAACAAACTAACTGCAATAGTATCTACGAGATCTCATTTTATGTTTGGGCTTTACCTTGCGCCAAACGAAGTGGTAAGATATTTTAAATGCTGGTTAATAGTTCATGGTTAATGGTTAAAAGCAAAATAAATGTGCTAGACATCTAAGGTCATGTAGCACTATAGTAAATGTTAGTGAAGGGTGGTTAAGTTAGTGATTAGTTGTCAAAGCTGGGCAAAGGAATTGGTGAGTAGATGGGTTAAGGTCGGTAATGTAAAGGGGTTAGATTAAGTGAAGGATATTTATGCGTTTGAGGAAGGAAAACAAGTTGTTGAAGCAGTGTTGGGAGGGAGAAGGAGGATAGGGTGTAGGGGGGATGTCGTTAGGAGGAGGATGGATATCGGCAGTCACTTGGAGTGTGGAGGGAACAAGAGTTGTAGGATTTGAAGATTGATGAGTGTCAGTTTTCATTAAGTAGTCTTGAATATTTTCAAGAGTTTCTTCAATGGAGTGGGTTGGGGTGTTTTGTGAGGTAAAAGATTTCTTGTGAGGGGGGTGGGGAGAGAAGACTGGTGTCTCAAGAGTAGGGGCAAAGGAGGGTGGAGGTGATTGTGTGGTAGGGGAAGAGGGGGTGGAACGTTTGTTCTGTCTGTTGCGGGTAGTGCGGGGGGGGGGGGGGAGGTGTTGGTGTTGTAGTGGAGACTGGAGTGTCTGTAGTAGAGATTGGAGTGTCTGGATTTAGGATGGCAAAAGAGTTTGACTGGGGAAGGTAGGAGGTAGAAGAGGGGGAGTTAGATGGAGGGGGGGTAGATTTAGGAGAGGGTGTAGGATCTTGGGAGGTAGGGGAAGTGGTAGAATTAACAATATTACAAGAGTAGGGATTAAGAGAAAAACCTCGTCGCCGTGCTTCATGTTTGGCTTCACGTAGTGTGAGTGTGAATCTGAGAGTTGCTACCTCAGACTCAAATTTGTAGGTGGGGCAGCCCTTGTAAAATACATTATGAGGGCCACCACAGTCGGCACATGTGCGTGATTGTGCAGAGCAGTTTGATCGAGTATGGCCAGGTTGGGCACAAAGTGGCCATCTGGCAATGTTTGGCTGGGTGTCCTAAACGCTAACAATTTTGGCACTGACGAGGAGGAGGTTGGTATGGTCGGACAGGGAGGGTCATTAAAGGGAAGGTCATGTCTACGGAAAGTAATTTTTGTGATTTTAGTGGGTTTCTTACGATAACCTCTGGGAGGAATGGAGTAGCATTGTACTGATGTCGCATCATAGTCCGTGAGACAGGCGAGTAAGTCTTCTCCACAATTTGACCAATCTTTGTCATAGATTGGCCAATTTGCTGGGTAGATAGAAACAGTTCCGGTGCGAGTATTGAGGGTTGGATGGGGTTCTGCAAGGATGGCATTACCATATAGATCAGTTAGTTTTGCTAATGCTATAGCTTGGTTTTCGGATGTTATTGTGACGAGACTTGAGCGGTCGGGTCGGCTACGGAATGAGACTTTGCCTACTTGTTTTTGGAGACATTGCTGGAAGAGAAGGGTGTTGTCAGATTAGGGAGCTGTGGGAGGGATCACGAAAAATCGGTCCCATTTGGCTGGGCTAAATAGAGTATTTAAGATTGTTGTAAAGATAGGGGTAGTAGATGGGCGGGGGCGTGTCGAAGAGGGAGTGTTGAGGGAGGTAGTGTTATGGAGAGCCATAAGGCTGTAAGGTATTAATAAGGGAGGATGGGGTAGTTGATGTAGAAGGTTGTGGGAGTAGAGGTGTTGAAGTTGAGCATATTGGGAGAGTAGAAATGTCTCTTGGGGGTTGAGTGTTGACTACTGTACTAGTAGGCATTGAGGAGGGGGTAGTTGTAGCAGTGTTCAGAGCCGTGGTCAAAGGAGAGCCTGGGGTCAGGGAATCGGAAGGATTTGAATTGTTGGGGCTATTTGATGAAGGGGTAAGCCTCATTGCCTCTAATAGTGGAATTACGTTTTCATTATTGGCCATGGTAAGCCTGGAGTATGTTGGGGAGAAAAACAGCCCACCCCTCAGGGTAAAGCGTGGGGCGTGTGTTGTGTTTATGCGTTACATGTCAGCAGTCGTACAGCAGGAGGATGGTACTGGAAAGGATAAAGAGGAGTAAGAGGTAGAGAAGGTGAGGAAAAGGGATAAGCAGAGAGGTTTATAAAAGGATTGATTCATTGCACATTTCGTTTTCGCTCGAAATATGTTGATACATATGATTGATTATAAGTCGTAAAAAAATACAATAAGGTGAAAAAAACACCATACCCTCAACTTTGCAAAGCGTTTTCAGGTGTCAATTCTCATTGTCATTGTCCAGACTTTGCATGAGATGTCTGATTAAACTATGTATTTTATACCCACAAACGACCATGTTCTTTTAACAGTGCAAAGTAGTTTGGCAGTTGCTATTTTCCAAGTCAATGGAAGGGTTTTGAAGTGTGCGCAATTTCTATGGTTTCAAATTTTAGTTTTGCTGTATAATAATTTCGCGAATCATTTCAAAATAGATTCATTTAAAAGTAACAAGGGACTTTTGAGGCTGTTTAAATATATCATGTAACCTGTTCGTTGTATATATTAAATACAGATGACATAACTATCAAATTGTGATTTTTACAAATTCTTTCTGTAGTCTTTTTGTATCACTATTCCATCTGCTGTCGAATACATGCATTACAATTAAGACCAAATATAAGATTGTCAATGATGTAAATGAAACACTTTTTATTATTTGTTTTATTAATCATATACTCAAATATATCCCAGTACCCACTATACCACATTGTAATTAATCTGAGTTAGAAATTCCTCCGAGAAAGCATATTCTAAACTGAGATACCAACCTGCTCGTGAAGTGCCCGCTAACACAGTGGACAGATTAGTAATTATTCATTCCGCAATGCAAATATACATAACAGAAGAGTTTAGAGTATGTGAATGTGAAAAAATATTGAAATTATCATGCAAGTGAAATAGTTCTGTATGTACACTTTGCAGTAGATGAGAAGAATGCTGCCAATGCTGCCAATGCTGCCGTAGACTTCCATAATGTTATAAATGTAGGGGAGTTACAGCTACGTTACTTACTAAATTTCTAAAGACAATCAACTCACGGACGGCATAATTCAGTTTATGTACAAATTACAAAAAATAACAATATGTACAATACATACATTTAAGTCATGTTTAAACAGTAAGAAGTGCCAATGTATTTTACAACCGTAAAGGCTAGCAATAGAGCAATTGGTAAGTAAATAAAAACGTACACAATCAAAATAATTAAAGCTGCCGTTAAGTAATCAAGATTAACATCGAGCGATATATAAAGGCGTCATAAACTTATCAGGGAAATGTTTAATCTGAATGAGTAAAACTATGATCTTAAATCATGCAACATACAAAAGAAGACAGATATCACGCGAACAGGGAAACCTATCAACTCTTTTTACCTCGGCACAAGATTCCTTCACGTCTACCTTATCGAGTTCTTGATGGCTGCCAGTCGCTGGTGCACCAGGTGGAGGTCCTTCAGTCTCTGAGGCGTGCCGAAGGTCGCGCTTGAAGGGCTAATGGAGTAGCTGGAGGACGAAAGCCGGACGGACTCTTCCTGGTTCCCCGAGAGGGAGTCAGCATGGTCCGCGTCCTTGGCCAGGAACGGGGTGTCGCTCAGGTCCGCCACGCTCTGTGACCGGTCGGGTGCCTTGGCGGCTTCGGGGGGTCCTTTGCCGAAGGTGGAGAACGAGAAGGACGCGCCGGGGCACTGCCAGTTACTGAAGTTGTTGCTGAAATTCAAGTAGTTGCTCTTCATCGGCGTCTTCTTCTCGAGAATGGCTGTGAAGTCCTTCCAGATGGAGAGGTCGAGGAAGCCTCCGCCACTCTTGCGTGGCGTTTCCTCCTGGGTCGGCTGAGCCGTTTTCTCGTCGAATATCACCTCCGACGACTCGCTCGATCTGATTTCAGGGAACTGGGGGTTGAAGGAAGCATTCTGCAGTTTGATGCCGTGGAGGCTAGTCGTACTCCCTCGGTTCTCCTTGTCGCCTCCGAAGTGTTCCCAAGTACATTTCCTCTTTTTTCCTGCCGATGGTGGCGATGAAGGTGCAGCTAGTGCACTCATACTGCCGGCAAGAGATGTCAGATTCTCCAAAATGCCTGTAATAATTAAGGAAAAAATAAATGTGCTGTTCATCCAGTGCTTCTACATTTTCTTGCCCGGCAGCAAAAAAACACAGAAAACGAAGGACATTTTACCCGAGATTTCATCCCCAATGCTTCGGTGCGTGTTGTGGCTGACGGTGTCCTCTTGCGATATTAGATCCGACACCTCCCTGAGCGCCGTGGTGTTCTGCTGTCCTTTCAAGGGAGACGTCTTAAAGGAGCTGCTTCCGGCCCCCTTGTTCTTTGGATCTGCGGAAGTCGGGGGGGGGGGGGGTGAAAAACGTTTGAACATGTAGCACGATTAAGTTAGGACTTAATAGGGAATTAAATCATTTCCTTATTCATAATTAAGAAGGGAACATATACATAAATCCACAGAGTATATTACCTACACCCCGCGCAGTATATGCATATATAGATATGTACATGTACATACAATACAACAATAATAGTTACAATAGAAGAAATTAGAAAAAAACAAAACAAAAGAAGGTTCGAAGGAAAGGCAGACGAGTGAAGACAAGAGCAAACACATTGAAGCACCACACTTGCCTCTCCGTCCATCTTCAGCGACACCAGAATTTCCCGACGGGTGAGGGGGAAGCGTAGCTTTGTTTATCGCCCCGTCGATGTCCAAGTTAATCTCCTTCACCTACACACATGGAAAAAATAACTCAATAAATGATAAAAAGATTAGGATATGCGTTGTTCGAAGGGGGGATAAGTGCCACTTGCTTCTGGCGCCCACTCGACTTCCACAGCCTTACCTTGAGCGAGAAATTTCTTCTGGATGACCTGGCCGAGGGCGGGAGGGTGTTAGTGGATCTACTCAGGAACTTTGTGATGTCAATGGACGTGTCGCAGCCCAGAGTCTCGCTGGCTATGGCCTGCATCGATCTGGAGTGGTGTCCTGGGAACATCAGACGGATGTTTAAGTTTCATAAGGCTATCGTCGTACGGAGCAGGGTTCACTCGCGGTGACCGGTTTGTCACGGAATGTAAGTTGTTGATTCTGTTGCGGCTGGCTACAGGCATATCTTGTATCTTCTCAGCTAATGAATGCCGCGATTTCATAATACTCCTTATCTATGCTACGTTTCACAAGAGTATACAAAAATGATAACTAGACTTTACAACCTCATTTTGCACACGGGGCTAAAGCTACCCAGTCACTTCTTCTGGAAGAGGAAAAAAAAACCTTCACTATGCCTATATATAACATATATAATACCTGACATGTTAGATCCGCCTGCACGAGCGCGGACTTCCCCAAGGCGTGACATCGACTTCGAGAACCGAGTCAGGGGCTTCTGCTGCTGCTGATGGGAATTCTGGTCCGAGCTGGTTGATGGCTGAGGACTGTCTGTGGCTCTCCTGCTTTTGGTCCTCGATGCCGGTGTTGCCACGTCGACGGGAATGTCCCGTATGTCTGAGGTGAGGAGCTGTTGTTTTTCTGGATAGATGGAAAGACAAAAGTAGAAGCATTTTTTTAAAAATTACTGAAGAGAAAATGGAAAAAAAATATAATGATAATGAAATAATGAAAGCATTCTCGTAAAGCACTCAACGAAAAAAAGATCACTTAAAGCAAAACATGAAGACACTGAAATGAAATGAAAAGCACATCACTCCAAGTGGCTAATAAAAGAAAAATAACATCCATCAAAAAAGGAAAATCTCCCTCACGTGTCGCTGACAGCTTGGGGACCTTGTTCTGTGCCCCTGAATTCTGGCGGCCATTAAACTCGTTGAGATCGTCCTCCGGGTTTAGATTGTCCTCGTTGAGAGAGGAGGCGAGGCGGGAGAGGAGGGTGAGGGTGAGCTGGACTCGCTTGATCATGCTGCGGTGACGGGACAGGTCGGTCGGGGTTGCTGACAGCGAGGCCATGCTGCTCTTCACTTCGTTTACGGCTGCAACGCAGAACAAAAGCTGTTGGGTTACGCAGATCAAAAGGGTTGGGAGGGAGAGGGGGAGAGAGGAAGAGGAAGAGGAAGAGGGAGAGGGAGGGAGAGAGAGAGAGAGGGAGAGAGAGAGGGAGAGAGAGAGAGAGAGAGAGAGAGAGAGAGAGAGAGAGAGAGAGAGAGAGAGAGAGAGAGGGAGGGGAGGGGAGAGAGAGAGAGAGAGAGAGAGAGAGAGAGAGAGAGAGAGAGAGAGAGAGAGAGGAGAGAGGGAGAGAGGAGAGAGAGGAGGAGAGAGGAGGGAGAGGGAGGGAGAGGGAGGGAGAGGGAGGGAGAGGAGGGAGAGAGGGAGAGAGGGAGAGAGGGAGAGAGGGAGAGAGGAGAGAGAGAGAGAGAGAGAGAGAGAGAGAGAGAGAGAGAGAGAGAGAGAGAGAGAGAGAGAGAGAGAGAGAGAGAGAGAGAGAGAATAAGAGAGGGGAAAGAGGAAAAAGGGGAAGGTAGAGGTGGAGGAGAAAAAGAGGAATGAGAGATGGGTGGGAGAGAGGGAAAGCAAGCAAAGAAAAAGAAAATAACAGAAAATATGATGGGTATTCAAGATTTTAAATCACTATAAAGAAAAATATCCAAGGAAAACATTTTCTAAATGCATCTGTATGCCACATTCACTATGCAGTCTATATCTAAATCTATGTCTATTCTCTGTTTCTACTGTACTTACCTACTTGAAGATCCACAGCCTGAAAGTGGGTAAGGAAATTGTCTCTCTGGTGCAATGAGAGTAGCCGTGTAGCATAGTTGACAACAGAATCAACCTGCTTTTTTATCCATGTCACATCCTGTGTATACAGCTTCTCCTTCAGCCCTGCCCATATCCGGTGCACTTCTTGCTTTGTCACCTGCATGCACATCACTTAAGTAACAGACTTCTTGGATGTAGGCCCATAAGATTTAAAAAGAATAAAATAATGTATTGAGCAAATAAATCAAAATATATGAACATACAATAAATAATGAAAAAAATGAGTAATATCCTTACCAAACTAAAAGCTGAAGGATCCATGATAAGGTCCAAACACTCCTGCAGCTGAGTAACAGAAGCCATCCAGTGTTTGACCAACATGAGAGCATGGCCGTAAGCATTAGGGTGGGGATCTGTGTAGGCTGTTACAATAGCAGGGACTAAGCATCCCTCCAGCCATTCTAGTGTCTGCAGACTGTCACGGATTATCCGGACTCCTGTTTGTGTTAAGTTTATATACAGATATAGACCACACTTGTCAGGTTGATTATGTAAAAATAATTATTGTACATTAATACATATCAGGATTGATATTTAAGTATTATCATTTTCCATTATATACATGAATGTTTCTCATAAATCAATCTGACAGATCTACTTGAAGATCTTATAGTTTATAGTTCTATGTGTTCCTCTCATTACTCACTAGCAATGTCTGAAGTACAAGCAGTAGCAAAGCCTCCAATTTGGAATATACGATCAACATGAAGGTCAAAATCAGCAACAAGTGGATCCAAAGCATTTTGGTCTCGACACTGACCATCTTTCTCAGAAGTTAGCATGGCAGTCATTGACTGGAGAGGTGCCAGGGGTGTGGCAAAAGTCTATGGATGGAGAACAGATCTCACTGTATGCGAGTCTTAGGATGGGCCTGTCTATTGCTATCATGCATGAAGAGCATTTGGGTTTAGTCATGAATGAACATAAATGCAAATATACAAGCAAAGGGCTTATGGGTGTAATAATCACAAAAAGAGAGAAAGGGAGAGATTGAGAGAGAGAGAGGATGAGTGAAAGAGAGAAAGATAGAGAGGGAGAGGGAGAGAGAGAGAGAATGTTGCCTTACTGTGGCAATAAGTCTGATGAGTGCTGTGTTCACTTTCTGCTCCAGAAGTTCCACACAGTCTGCCAAAATGTCACAAGATATTTGCACATCTACAGAGTCAGGGGTCCCCTCACGCTCCAAGGATACTAGGATCTTCAGCTGCTTTAGAACCTAAGGAAGAGATATATATTCTTGTAGTCTAATGGTTCAAATCTAGGGCAATTCTGAATATAGCCTTGAAAGTAAACTGGTAACTGAAATGTTAAATTAGTTTATATTAGGGTAATGAAGGGTTTAGTTTACCCTCCCTACATATCAAAGGTCTGATTTCAGCAGAGTATGCAGGAAATACGTAAATACTAAAAAATCAAAGAATCATCATAAGTATTCAATTATATCACAAAATTCAGACCACTTACATTCTCACACATGGCCATTATAAGTTTGTTATCATCCTGGACACTGCAGTATGCTACTGCGATGGCATGACGCAACACCTCCTCCAGTAATGGCTTCACACGATTGCTCAAGGGACCAACGGGCTCAGAGGCTTCACTACACTTCTCTTGACTACCTATTAACATTTCTAAAGTCTTATCTACCTGCAAAGTGATACAGTCAGCATTAAAGATTTATATTTATATATTTAATATATTTAAGAATATAAAGACTTGGGTAATAAAATGAAAATGAAATTGTGGAAACCTTTAAAGTGAATTTTGTCTTGTAACAATCATTGTAATGACAACATTGCCTACAATACTAACACAAGCTATGAAAGCCCCGGGTTCTTCAAGATCATACTCTTGGTCACCTAAACCTAGCTGAGAGTTAAGGTCACCTAGAAGTGTCTGGAGGCGACCCGATACCAATTCTCTGCTCATCTGAAAAATGCATAATAGTGAAATATAATCAGTCATGTATGAGTGCCAAAACAAACTACTTTGTTGATAAAAAGGTAGAAAACTCATTATAGAATATACTATAAAGTAAAACTATTTTGTGTCTCACCTTCACATGTTTACTCAAAGGATTTGTTACTGTGGCAGCACAGGCAGAGGCTAAAAGAGGCATTGTGTGGCATAGCTGAAGTGACAACAATCTCACAGTCTCCCTCTGGGCTCGTCTGTAGAGATCCCCACATCTCACTTCTACCAGACTAAGCAACTCGCCAACTGCTGCAACAACTTCCTGAGACCATGAAAAATCACTTGTGTAAGCTCAAAAGCCATGAAAGCACTATTTTTTAAAAACTAAATTCAATTATATAAAGACTTTCAGATGATTGTGTAACTTTTAAGTGATAATCATGAAGCTTGCCTGAAAATCTTCTGGAAGCCGCTGAATACTCCTGGTTTCATGTAGGCGTGACAAGGCTTGCTGTAAGAATGTGACTGCTTTGCTGATTCTCCTTATCTGCGCCTTGTCCCACGCTAACAGTGCTTCTGTCAGTATGGACAACAACTGCTCTGTGTCCTCCACTATGTCTGCCCAAACATCTTCATTGTCTCGTACTCCAACGTCACCTCGCTGGGAAGCAATGTATACATGAATTAGTTTTTATCTACTTGAGTTCAGCTATTAACCACTGATGGGAACTTACTGTGGATTCATTTAACAAATATTAAGTATTAAAACATTATCATGTCTTTTAAGTTTGACAACGCACCCAAGATTAAGTATTACTTTTTTGCACTAACATTTACTCTAACATATTTATTAACATAAACTATAAATTTTGAGATGCATTTACTACTTATAGAAGTGTACATACATGGAGATCCCTTGTGACATCTGTGAGAGAGACGGCAATCTTCTCTAGCTGAGTCTTTAGCTTCTTGGCCTCAGTGGTGAGCATGTCATCCCTGTGGGCCAGGGCGTAGGCTGAAAGGCGTGTTGCAAGCAGAGCACACGAAGACTCTAGTGCCTGACATTGCTTCAGAAGATTCATCACTGTGGATGCATCGCACACGATTCCCTGGCGGGTCTTCAGCTCCACAACCTATGATTGATTAGAATTTTGTTATATGTTTAAGGCATTATCTGATAAACTGATATAACTAATAGCAATCCCTGCATCAAGAATACATTCTACAAATTTGTAAGTCTTAAGTTTACCAGTTTATTTAATTCTAATTTCTTGTCTACATTGAATTGACCGACAATATCAACTTCATTATTAGGCAATCAGCAGGAACATACACAACTTGAGTATTAATGCATTTCTACCACTGTGACAGTATTTCTGAATTATGTATATTAAAAAAAGGCTACCTGGATAACAGGTAATAAGAAGGTATCCTTATTAAAGGAAAATGTGCTACAGTCATTATGTAGCAAATTTTGAATATAACTAAATGGGCAAAAAATACTTAAGTATCCAGACTTAATTAATTACCCATCATTTTTACTATTTTCAGTTTAATCAGTAACAGTTTTGATAACATTTTAACTGGAAATCAGCTATTGTTTCATTATCATTCTAAATAACTGCAATATGTCTTAATAACGACTTAATTTAATTACATAATTTTATTTCAATATCACCAAGCAAGGAAATATAATATAATACTTGCGTAATAAAATTGTATTCTGTATTTTACAAATATAACACTTAACTTCCTGCATCAGCATCTCTCTCCTTTATAAAATGATGAAGCACCAGTAACTTACATCAAAGTTAATTGCCAAACAAATGTGAAAAGTTGGTAAGTTTAAACCAAACCTCGAAGTTCTAAATAAAAAACCACGATTTATCTCCACCTGGTTCGCGATGGGCCCGAGGACACTGAGCACCGATTTGGTCTTCGAACAAGCCTCTATGTTCTCCATCTTCCCATCCAGAAGGAATGCCAGGAAAACGCGGGGAGACCGAGGCGAGGGAAATCCAAGAAAAACGGAAGGAGACGCGAATGACTTTCAAGGAAGTTTTTGAATTCTGTGGGAACTTCCGGCGGCCGTTGGGTGCTGCCACCTGTCGGCCGGAGAGGGAACTGCAGGTGTAAACAGAGCGCATTCGATCTTGATTTGATTCGGGGTGGAGGTCGTTATTTTTGTTCATTGGCGTATAGATTAATGTGTTTTCAATGCGAAATGTTTTTAATATTTGTTTTTGGTTAATTTGGGGTGTCAGATGGAAGCTTCCTTATATATCTATTTTCCATGTTCATGTATTGTTGAATGATCCGTAACACCCCCTCCTCCCACACAACAAAAACAAGTAATTTTTGACTTGCAGGTGTTCTGTATTAAAATTTGTGGCTTCTTTGTTTGTGGCAAGTGAATCGGTCATGTAAATTGTTATGCTGGCTATTTCAGCTTATGTGTTTGTCACATATGAACGCCGTATTCTTGGTGCTGTTGCGTATTGGTGTAGATGTGTGTTGGCAGTATAGTGCCGGGCAGGTCAACGACTATTATTTTATAAGTATTAAAAGTTTCATGCCTTTATGATTTTGGTGTTCTTATATTTCAGGATTTCTAGGTTAAATGAATATACCCTAATTTGACATGTATGGTAAACGCTTCCTATTAAACTATTTTTTTCTTGTAAGTATATTGGCTGTTTTACCCTGATCCACTTAAAGTCTAGTGTATATATCTCAGTAGTTAGAGCTCTGGACTCCGACCCTCGTGGCCCCGGGTTCAATTCCCCATCACGGCAATCATAAAAAATACCTATACTCTGACTGCTTGCTCGAGCCCGAGAAAACGACATATCGGCTTGAGAAGTCAAACGCAGGTGTCGTAGGGGAAGTCACCGCCGTGGCACAAGTGTTAGCATTCAATCAGGCAAGGGTGACACCGCCATATAACCTCTCAGTACTGAATTGAGAGAGGCCTATGTCCTGCAGTGGAATGAATGGCTGTTGGAAAAAAAAATATATATATATACATATATACGTATATACATATATACACATATATACACATATATACCTATACCTATACCTATACCTATACCTATACCTATACCTATACCTATACCTATACCTATACCTATACCTATACCTATACCTATACCTATACCTATACCTATACCTATATATATATATATATATATATATATATATATATATATATATATATATATGATCGTAGGGGGTAAATTTGGAAATGATGCCTAACAAGAAGTTTTTGATATAGCTCTTGTGTTTCTAATTAATATAGTGCTCATTCCTGTTGCAGATGTCTGGATTCTTTAGGTATGGTGTTAGATGTCATTTGCAGTAATACCAAATAGGGATACCAGATAGTATTTGCTCATACACATTGACAGACTTGACTGGCTGACTGACATATATATGTATATATATTTTCTTATTAATATTCACTCATATCTATACATATTTCCTGCTCTGTAAGAAATGCTGATATCTTAGATGCATCTATAATTTGGCAAGAGAAATTTAGGCAAATGAAATAAAAATGTCTTTTTTTTTTTTTTTTTTTTTTTTTTTAATAGAAATGGCATTGAGAAAGGTTGAAAATATCATATGATTTTTTTTGCTGATAATAACATTTAAAGTTATTCATTACCTTAAAATATTTACCAGATATCTGATTTACAGAATAGGGCAACAAGTGTTATGCAACTAGATATTTTAACCAGTCTAGGAAGAATTTAGTGATATTTCTGATGAAAACACCATGTTTCGTCTGTGTAAGGCATTAGCACCAAAACAGCAGTGGGTGGCTTGTATTTACACCAAGGTAATGATTTAATAGCTTTTATGTTGATAGTTTGATTATATTATGTCAGAGGGTTGTTATAAGTGTTGGACGTGAGTCTCTAAGAATGTTGTATGATGTGGTATACTTGGAAGGCATTAATTTGATGTGTATTTTCTTCATTTACAGAAGTAGAAATCTGTTTTGTGATTGAGGAATGCATCTCACAGCCTCAAGGAGGGGAGCTTTGTTCCTGTAAACTATAGTGTAGATCATTGCTTAACCCAATGTCTGTGGGTTTATATACAGTCCACTGTTGATTTTTGTGAATCTTTTTTACACACAGATGGCTCCATGTGTGCTCACCCACCAAGGAGTTTATCATCACTAGACCCTAGTGATGGCACTTGATTTCCCCATTCTTTCAATTTGTAGGAAAAGGTGTTTCTTTTTCTAATACTATCAATATTGACATTGTTACCATTTTTATTGATATTATGTTTACTAAATTGTTATTAAAATGTTGATAACATTAAAGACAATAAAATGATAGAAATAAAGCTTTTAAAAAAATCAAAGAAGAGGGTAAATAGGTGAGATAGGTAATACCAATAATTGACTCCTTGGCAACTATGCACTTATAGAGCCATCTGTGTGTAAAGACAATAGATGAATTTTTATTCCAGCAGGCATGGCATTGTAGTCTTGCCATCCACGCTAATTGGGTTAAATATATAATCAGTAACAGGAACCACTTTTTGCCTGTGTAGTAATTGGCATTGAGGAGAAGTTTGTTTTAACCCTAAAGAATTTTGTGTCAGCCTTCGATGGTTGTAATGTCTATATGAATATTTCTTACCTGTACACATGTATTTCTATGTGTTAAACAGAATTTACCTGTAAAGAATAATAAACTATAAAATAGGAGACTACTCTGAAACAGCAACAGCAAACAGGAAGGTTATTAATGTTTAGTTATAAGTAGAATGCCATTACTTTATCACAATTATATAAGAATGAGTACATACAGAATAAGGATAATTATATATTATCAAGTATTTTTTAACTGATATGATAACAGTAATAGCAAAAGCAAAGAGGGTTATTATAGAGGTTTAGGTCTAATACCAGTACTCTTCCCCAAAAGCCTATCTTAAAACAACCATTGTAATTAATGTAAATGATTGATAATCCCTGAAATTGATCTCTCCCATTCTAGAGGTCCTCATCCACCACCATGAGCAGCTGGCTGGAGAAGCCGATAAAGGGAGTCCTGCTGGATATTACTGGGGTTCTCTATGAGTCTGGGGAAGGTATTGGAACCGTTATACCAGGCAGTGTGGAGGCCGTAGAAAAGTAAGAATATGTGTGGACAAGGAAGTCTGGTCCCTTGTGTCACTGTCTCTCTCTTTGTGTCTGTCTGTGTCTGGCTCTGTCTGTCTCTGTCTCTCTCTCTCTCTCTTTGTCTCTCTTTGTCTCTCTCTTTGTCTCTCTCTTTGTCTCTCTCTTTGTCTCTCTTTGTCTCTCTGTCTCTCTGTCTCTCTGTCTCTCTCTCTGTCTCTCTCTCTGTCTCTCTCTGTCTCTCTCTGTCTCTCTCTCTGTCTCTCTCTGTCTCTCTCTGTCTCTCTCTCTCTCTCTCTCTCTCTCTCTCTCTCTCTCTCTCTCTCTCTCTCTCTCTCTCTCTCTCTCTCTCTCTCTCTCTCTCTCTCTCTCTCTCTCTCTCAAAAAAAAAAAAAAAAAAAAAGGAAGAAGGAAAATAATATGTTTTTAATGTTTATATTAATTAATTAATTATTATATTTATCTATTTATATATGTATTTATTTATAAATCTGTGAATATGTAATTGCATATTTGTTGTTGTCAAATCATAATGAACAGATATATAGCTATTAAACAATAATTTACAGCTATGCTCTTTACCTTCATTTGGCATCTAGGTTAAAGGCAAATGGCATCCCAGTGCGTCTTGTGACCAATGAAACGTGTGCCACAAGAACTGCAGTTATAAACAAGCTTCAGGTCCACGGCTACAAAGTGAGCGAAGCAGATATCTTTAGTCCCGTGCCAGCTGTGGTTGCCATCCTGAAGGCACGGGGACTCAGCCCACACCTTCTGGTTCATCCTTCTGTTAGTAATCTTTGCTTAGGGGTGAAGTGAGGGTAAAAGGATTTGAATAGAGCTGTAGTTTGTATTTTGTTGTTGTTTAGAAATGTATATAATTGCCCTACACTATTAATTTCTTCATGCAATGTATATGTTGTAATGATTATAAGTGTGCTACTTTTTATATTTTATAAGTTTTAAACTCAGAATTTATGTTTATCAAAGTATGTCTTTGCAGATTGAAGATGAGTTTAAAGATGTTATTAAAGACAGTCCATCATGTGTTGTCATAGGTGATGCTGATGAGGCTTTCACCTTTGAGAATATGAATGTAGCCTTCAGGACACTGATGACCATGAACAAACCTACTTTATTTTCTCTTGGTTTTGGGTAAGAATACTGTATTTAAAATTTATATTTATTGACTGAATGTACTCTAAGTAGGAAAGATTAATGAATGACTGCATATTCTTCTTGTTTTTTTTGTTGTGTTGGTGACGAAAATGGGATTACATCGAGGGATTTATTAGAGCAATGAACTATGCA